TTTTTTTAAATATCTTGAGCATCTTTGAACGGATTGTCTTGAAAGTTTGTACACCTATGTTTTCTGAGGTGGTAATTACGGAAATGGTAACTATTTTGCAATCACATCTAGGATGCGCTAGTTGTAGTGTTCCGTCGGAGTAAACATATGTCAAACTTTTTTGTCCTTCAAAAATCTGAATTTCCAATAAGAAATTATTAAACTACGTTCAATTCTAAATAAAAAAGATATACCTGTTAAAAATCGATAAACTTAACCGTTTTCGAAATAAGAACGATTTACTATTTCTTTACAAAATTATTTGTTTGAACGTACGCCTTTAAATAAGATGACTTAATTACGAATTAAGACAAACACAGTAACAACTGAAAATTTTATTATGCTTAAGTCTAATTACAAAAGTCTCAAAGTGGCGACCATTGTTTTCAATACATTTTTTTATTCTCTCGTTAAAATTTTGTCTGACACTGAATATACTTCTTTGTTGGTCTCTGATAATGTTAACAGATTCTTGTATTTTTGCCCACAGCTCTTCTCGAGTATGTATAACATCTTTATAAACTAAAGATTTAACGTTACCCCAGAAATAAAAATCTAGGGGATTTAAATCAGAGCTACGCGTAGGCCAAGGTACTTCGCTGCCGCGACCAATCCAACGGTTTCGAAAACTTATATCATGATATTCTCTTACTGGTCGGGAGTAATGTGCGGGAGCACCATCATGCATAAACCAGAAGGTTTGTGGTAAATTTAAGGGGATATTTTCAAGAACCAGTGGCAAGTCATTTGTTAAAGTTTTCGGCAATTCGCACTAAAACATCCTCTTCTTGCTCCGCCGCTAATACTTTAGGCCTTCCAACGTCTCGTTTAGGGCGAAATAATCCCGTNGGGTCATTGGGGTGGTCACCCAGGGTCAAAAAGTTGGTGTCTAGGTCTTTTGTGTTTGTCGGTCACGTCGGGTACGCAGTCAACGGCTTGCCTGAGGAGGGGATTGTCATGTCTAGCACAGGCATGACCAACAGCCAACAACAGCTAGGTTGGTAATAAACAAATCTTCATAAATAATAAATATCATAAAAGTAACTAGAACCCCTGCAAATTTGTTGCACCACGGAATAGAGCATGTTCTAATTCATGCAATTTAGTTGCTGGTACAGAATTGCATAGTGTGGTAAGAAACATTTCATGGATTATATTGCGGCAACCAAATCCCTGCAACAAAATTGCATCGTCTGATAAAAGTTACCTCGTGATGTAACATAATCTATAACTTCAAATATATCGATAAACCGTGTCGTTTGCACTTATTGTTTGGGAACTTCCCAAAAACTGATGTGATGGATCAATTCTGTCAAAAGTCTTCTAGGAGTGGGAAGTATAATCTGGTTTCTAGTTTAAATCAAGCACATTTTGTTAACGCACATAATTTTTGGATTCACTTTATAAATTTCTACTAAAAATGAAAACAAAAGAAATAGGACACAGGAAGTTGAAAGAAAATGATATAAATACAGAAGAAATTTTAATTTATGTAAATTTTGCAACGTTTAACATGGTTTTTTTAATATTTCAGGTTCTTAATTTTCAATCTTTTCAGATTTCAACCAATGTTGCGCTTTTTTAATTACCTAAATATTTTCATATTTCTTAAAGAAACTTTTAATTATTAAAAAAAGGAAAACAGCAAATAAAAAACAAAAATATAAGTTTTTAAACATAAATTCATTGACAGATAACATTTTAAAAATATGAAAAGAACGTTTCAACAAAAACTCTTCACATCTTCAAGAAGACAACATTAAAAAGTAAATATCCCTAATTGCTTCCGTAGTACAAAATGTCCTTATTGCGTATTCTATCCCACACTTCTATATACACTTCTCCAAAATAAAAAATACACCTCCAAACTAAAAATAAACATCAAACCAACGCTACCATTGAACTAACTGGAGGTACATCCAATAAAAACCGAACCCTTACTCGAACCCAATAACGTACTTTAGCCACTTCTGATACCTCTTCGCTAACTCAATTTGCACGGCGCTACAAATGCCTATCATATTCTCTGAGACGAAATGTTTCTCGGCATTTACCACGATCCGGTACAACTGACACGACTCCACCTTGTTCAACGGCATTTTAAATGACCTCGGCCACGCGACACAGTCTTCGCCACCTGTACTTTTCATGCTCACCACTACGTCGGACCGGACAATGTTTTTATCGTCCGAAGGATTAATACTGCTCTGGTTTACTCTATTCCTCGCTTGGAAGTCCACATCGTGATAATCATACGCGAGTTTCAACAGGTGGTAGACGAGGAACCGCCGGTGATAAAACAGCGACTCGTGTTCGGGGAAGAGCTTGTTCAACTTGTTGACTAGAATGAATAAATCGTACAGCAGCAGCGAGACGTAATTTATGTACGAGTTCGTCTCTTCCAGCAAACCCGTTTTGTGCTGCTTCCCCAGGAGGTAGACTAGGAGGTTGCTAAATTCTCCGTCGTTGATCAAGTCGAGCTGCTTTATGACAAAGTTGTAGAACGACTCAAAGACGAGTACGATCTTCCTGTGGGATCGTACGAGTTTGAGCAGGTACTGGCGGTAATGGTATCCGGAATGTTCGGAGACGTGTGTGTTGATCCATTCCTGGCTGTAGTTGAGTTCTGAGTAAACTATGTCGCCGATGCTTGGACTGCACGCCGCTATATTCTCCATGCACCTAATAATAATAAAAATAAGTGACTTTGTTATGACGGAGCTCAGCTTCGACGTAATATTGAAACTGAAGAAAAACTTTGAAATGGAAAAATTTATTTACCAAATCCGATGACTCCAGCTATGGTAATTATTCGGCGACTTCTCGGAAGCCATGTGGACAACCATCAGCTCGTTCTGTAAGAGACTTAAAGGAGCGTGTAGGTCATTTTCCGATATTTTAGTAAGGATTCTTTTAAGGAGCCATCTTCGATATGAAAAAGCTTCGTTTGACTTGCTCTTGTGCGTTAACACTATTTTGCTGCACAGGAAACAAGCGGTTAAAAAAGTACACCAATTCGGCATGGTACAAAATAATGGTTGATTTTACCTGAAATGTAATTCCCTATCCACACTTAGCACATCTAGCTCCACTAAAATGCGTCTCATGTTCCAAAATGTGCCGACATCTGGATTTATAAGTATGGCTCCTATTAGAAGGGTATTTAAAGACTCCATTTTACTTGTAGACATTTTTCTCTTCGATAACATCTCTTTGTGGTCAAACAAAATGGAACAGGCATAATTGTAAACATGTTTGACACACCAAGATTCTAAACCTACATTGTGTTGTTCATATAGAACTGGTGATTTATTTTTTGTGTTGTCTTCAGTAGGTATGATAGAAAATTCCTGCCTTGAAAAAAATATTTTTATTTACCCTAAGATGGATGTAGAATGTAAATAATTACTTACAAATCAGGGTCTCTATTTATAATTTTCTCTAATGTACGTAAAATTTTATCCGACATTGCCTTTCCATCAGCCATTATTTAATATCTTGGGTTTTAAGAAACTGGGACAAGTAAATACGGTTACAAAACCTCAAATTTTACAAAACTGCAGAGATGACGTATTCACGTGCTGTATTCTTCTTCTTCTTCCTCACAACTTAAAAAAGCTTATAATTTTTATTATATATTCTAATTAAAAAACAAATACACGGTATATAAAATAACAGTTTGTAAACCTCGATGCTTTAACTCTCCTTGAATGTTTTGGACCAGAAAAATTTATTTTTAAAATTATTTACATAGGTGTGAATAATTTTAGAATTAGATGTCCATTATACTACCCATGGAGACTAGATATAGTCTCCATGATACTACCATTAAAATCCAGACAACTTCTCGCTAAACTAACCCTAAGCATTGTTTTTAGAAGATAAGTTAAACAACCTTGGTTAGTTCTCTTCAATGAAATCCAGATGGCAGTGCTAGGGAAGTGTGTTTATTCATAAATATCTATGTGCTTTTACGTTAGAGCATTGTTTTTAGAAGAAAACAATGATTATACAATGTTCTATCGTAAAACCAGATAGATATTTATATTTATTTATGAATAAACACACTACATTAGCTCTGCCATCTGGATTTCACTGAAGAGAACTAACCAAGGTTGTTTAACTTATCTTCTAAAATCAATGCCCTAAGTTATCAACTGACCTGCATCCATCATCCATAATCAGGGAGACTAGATAAGGAGCACGAACTCATATGGGAAAATTGACAAAATTTGTCCAAGAAATGGCAGAAGTTGGGGTGGCGCTAGTGTTCCATATGTCCCAAGTGAATGTAGCATAATAAATACGAGTGAAGTAAGCAAATAACCAATTTTATTTTATAATGAGATATATCGTGGACGTATATAACATAAAAACTAGAAGTCAAGTCAATAATTATTACAATTTGTTTTTATAATGGTAAATAAAAAGTTTCGAAAATAATTTAAATATGGTAATAGTATGTGAAGTGAATGAATAGCGGGTTAATATTATGGCAAAAGATCGAATAATTCGGAAGATGGAAGCAGCTTCATTGATTCTCAATAAGGTAGAGAAATTTTTAAATAGTAAGATTTCATAAGTGAAAATATTGTATAATTGAATGATGCATTGTTTCTTTATATATCTTGCAGCAGCATCAACAGCAAGAGCATCCGCTACACCAGCAACAACAACAACAAGAACAGCAAGTAAATCAAGAGCAATTAAATTACGATGAAATTATACTAGAAAGTGAGCATTCTGCCGTGTATAATCTAATAAAAGAAAAGTTCTGCTGGTGTGTGATGAGGTCTCGACAAAGCAACGATGAATATGTTCAGAGCATAATATTGACAATAGCAACAAAGTATATTTTATTTATTTCTACATATTGTAATTTATATTACACACATAAATAATTAAATTCGTATCTTTCATATAATAATTCTTGCTGGTGACATCGTTATTATTATTACTGAATTGAATAAATTGAACAAAATGAAATTTTAAGAAGAAAAAGAAGATAGACTGACAAGTATTACTTATTTTTAAGAAGAGTTCCTGTTTTATTTGTAATATATATTTACTTTGTTACTTGTTTATGAATAAATATTTATTTTTATTTTAATTAGGTACAAATAATTTAGTTTTTTGATTCAATTAATAAAACATTGAAATCTTTGGTAGATAAACATTTTATTTTTACAAAATATATAACAAAAATATAGAACATTGCTAAAATATTTCTTTATAATACCTTATTAATTTTGGTCTATACTCTACCTTGTAATAAGTCGTGTAACCATGTTACGTTCGAATTATATCAACAATTTTACGAAAGTAGAATTAAATTTTACAGCAATTTTAAAATATATACCCAGAAAACTAATCGATTTTAAACAGTTATAAAATATTGATTACCTATTTTTTGTGACCTTTATAATGGAGTATATTATGTTAAAATTTTGGTTATCAATTGGTCGTCATGTTGTTTTAAACTTCTTGACATTTTGAGATACATATCATTATGACCTTTAAACGAAACAGTTCCAGATCTCTTCTGAAGAAGAGAGCGATATGACCCTCAAAGCATTGAGAAGCCTAAACCGACAACATGGCAATCAGCTTAGAAATTGTCCAACCATAATTTATCGACTATCCATAGTTAGTTTTCAGTTACACTAATATAGTATATTATTGGTTATTCAAAAAAATATGGATTGTGATATACTTTATCTTATATGAATTCCCTCCCTATCGTCTCTTTCATAATGCCGATTTTGATTTGGAGGCACATATGCAGGTATATTAATATTTTTTTTAAGCACTTCTAAGTCATCATGTAATGTCCGATCAATTTTTGTGACCCATCAATTATTCCTATAACCTCTGGAAATTCATATTGGGCAAAATATTGTTCAATTACAACTGCCTCATTACCTCGGCCATTCTATAATTTGTGGAGACAAGTTACTTAGCAAGTACGTAACTTTTCTGGTTGTTGTAAAGCTTAAGTCAATGCAAAATTTACCAAAATGATGGGTGAAATAATTAGAAATGGCAAATTTTTCTTCAATTCTGTTGGCTACTTCCAGCTAACACGGAAATGTTAAAAAAACTTGGCCACTATATTCAGGTACAGTAATTTCAAAGTAGTTCTTATTTTTTACTCTTTCTGTTTCTTAGAGTAAATCTATTTCATCATCACTCAAGCTGGACAATGCGTCTAATAAGTCATCTGAATCACTGGACTCAAAATCGGACATCTGTAATATTTTAAAAAGTTTATTTAAAACGAAGAGTTTTATTATATTCCATTTTTTTTACCACAAGTAAAAATTCTTAAATTTTTAAAGGGAACTTCATGTATAAAATGTGACTATTTTTTATTTACATTAAACTAAAATCGTTAACAAAATAATTATCAAAAACATAAACCTTACTTATAGCTTAATATTAACAAGATCACCTCATAAATTCCTTGAAAACTAGTTTCTTTTTCTTTCTACGAACACCAAATTCTTCTCATAAAGCTAATATTTTTTATTATCTATTTAGTTTAATTATAGTCCGGAATGACATATTTTCATGATTTATATAGTTCAAAGTAGCTTACATTATTTACTTTAAAATTTTTAACACATCACAATAATGACATTATTGATTTATAATTCAAACTGCCGCTTTTTTATCTCCCCTCTGTACGTATGGGACATATGGAACACTAGCGCCCTCTTATTTTTGTAAGATTTTTGTTTACATGGAGTTCGGGCTCCTTGTATAGTCTCCATGATCCATAATAGTCTCCATGATCCATAATAAAAGGATTTTTTAATTTTCTTATATTTGTATTTACCTACTCATTTCCTTTACTCTAAATTATTTACTTATACACCTAAGTAACAATCGTTTCCAACCTAATATCTGTATGTCTCCTTCATAGGGAAAATAAAAATAAATTATTTTTATTTTATCTCTGACCTTTAACGTAAAACTTCTTTATTTAACTGTAAATAATAAATATGATACTGATGAGTTATGACTGATTATTGCTACAGTTCAACAATAACATCTAAAGTAATTTTAAAACATCTAGTATAAAGTGTATGCAACCAAATATACAAGAAACTGTGTAAATAGCAATCGATTGCATACAATTTTGAGTTGGCAATTTTCATATAAATGGAAAAATTCTGACGTGCTATGATATTAAAAGATATTAATCTAAAACTTTAATAGGAACACGACAGATGATGTAAAAGAAAATCATATAAAAATATTTGTGTTGATTTTTATTTTGAGTAATAATGTATAAAAATATAAAATGCACTAATCATAAAAATACATTTATATTTGATAAGCATACATTATATATTTTTGATGTATATATTTTTTTATAACATCTATCTAATAGTTTTAAGTGAACAAATTTAAATGATGAGGCATTCTACAGACCAAACTAAGCAAGCAGTTATAAAATTATGTCCTGCGATAACATCAGAATATTATTATACCTACATAAAAACTTAGATCTACATTAAACATTTTTTTAATATTGAAAATATTTAACTAAGGTTTATACATAATGCGGCATCTTTAATGCAGAAAATTAAAAACTTAAACTGCTGATAGTTGGTCAAAATTGGGTGCGTTGCTGCCAGGCCTGCCTGCGATCTAATGGGAATCATTTTCTACATTTTCTATAAAAGCTGTAAGTTTGCATCTATTTTGTCTTGATCCAACTTATCAACCGTTAAAATAATGTAATGTTAGTGTTCTGTAATACCACTTACTATGTTTCTACAAACATCTTATCTTAAATCACACATTACCATTTGCAGTAAATTAACTATTTAAAATTTTATGTTTACTTTTCATTTTAATTAAAACGGATTGTATTAAATTGTCCAAAATTATTTATTTAGTATTGCTTCAAAAACCTTTTATTTCCTTTTTGTTTACTTCATCCAATTACATGTAGCGATTGGCAAAGTGGCAAACTCTGCAGTCTGCACAGATTTTCGGATAGTTTGGTTCGGCAAGTGTCCGCGGGTTGAGCTGTTGAATGTGAACATTTCTTGCCAGGGCCGTAATAAGATTTATTTTTTCGCCACAAAATTGACGTTCTATTTTCTTGACAAAACGTGAATATAGAACTATTTGAAGGCTTTTTTATTATGTATATTGCTAGGAATATGTATTTAATTTTTTCTGCATTAAAGATGCCACATGCTGTATATAAGGCATATTAAGTTTTTTTCTCAATTTGAATGTTCAGGACATTTTTTTCCCAGCAAATTATGAATAAGTATCTAAGTACTAAGACTGATGAACCGTATCTAAAAATTAAATTTTGTACTCAATGTTTCATCAGTAAAATTACGCTAAATGGCATAAACAATTGTTGGTTTTCTACAACAAAGCAATTACATTCAAGAAACTTTCCTTTCCTGAAAAGTTGCGTGTCTTAAAAAAATTGTTTCTAAAATAATGTCCACACTTATTAAAATATTTCAATAAAATTCTATATAGAGGGCTTTTAGGTTAGCTAAAGAGAACAACTTTATATCTTACTCAAAATTCAGAGGTTGTTGAACATACCTAAAACAGTATTTTTTATTTTTTGTTGGTTGAGATTTTGTGAAAGTGTGTAGTGTTTCATTAAACCTGACTTTATTTACTGTAAAGTACCTATCTCCAGAGAAAAATAAATTTGATGTTTTTACTAGCATAGTTAATTAGAGATAGCTGAGATTTTGTACTTATTGCTATCTAATTAAACATAATCTTTTTACTAAATTTATAGTTGTATTATGTGTTTTCCACTGGAGATACGATGCATACTTCATAGTTGATATCTGAGGCAAAAAAATTGAAATTATTCCTTTGAATTAGTGAATTGTGACAAGTCTACGTTTTGGAAGTAGAATAACATAAATAAACATGCGTTTTCGAAAAATTTCTGCCAACAAAGTACCTAAGTATATGACAAAAAACAAAAGACTGTTTCATTCATGAAATTACAGTTGGATGAATAATATATGTGCAATATAATTGCATACTAATACTACGTAACAACTAGTACATAACTAATTGTACAACTAAATAATTTTAAAACGGAATGTAAAAAGAAATACATACTTAGAAGAGGCCAACACATCACCTTTTGAAATGCCAGTATAATGAAGTTATAGTGCGTTATAACATTTTTATTAAATTTATTTAATGTGGCTCCAATTCCTCCATTCAATATACCTTTTTAAAACATTTCAAAGGCTCGTACAAGATCATTACAAACATTCAAAGTTTTGAATGTAATCTCAATCAGAAGCAAAACAAGATGGTTACCTACGGCCTTGCATAGAATAATTTTACATGGATATGTTTTTATGGGACTTTGTCCGAAGGCGACGAAGTAGAAGCTTTTGGCAGGTCATTGTTTTCTCCTTTTTTAATACACTTCTTGATGTCTAAAGCTGAAATCGAATTATATAAAAAATTAAACCTGAAAATGTTACATAAATTCTTACGTCGTAACGGAGCAATTTCCACTTTCGTTTCGTTGGAACGCAAACAATCAAGCCACAAAGTTTCCTCTATAGATAGTTTAGCACTGCTCTTTTTCACAGCTCTAAAATACTAAGAAATATATTTTAAAAATTATTCTGTAGGTACAAACAAGAAAATTGTTTTGTTTTAACTTTAAATACAATTTTTTCTTTATTTTTCGAGATTTTCGGAAACAATATGTAAAGGATTAAAGTAGGTAATGGGAATCATTAAATTGATTATTTATTTATCTCTATAGTTGCTAGAAAAGTAATATTAATGTGTAAAATTCTGAAAAATATGTCATGCATCATACATTTCGAATGAAAAACAAACAAAAAATACGAAATACGTTTCCATATTTTAGGAAAATCATTTGAAAAAAATCTTATACAAAATCTATATGATTTTTAAAATACGAATATTTGTCTCAGCCATGGCAATGCAATGACGTCACCGCATGGGACGGTTAGCCGGCTTGGCCCTACTTCCAGGATAAGTTTCAGCATCTACAAATTGTTTTAGCGTTTGTGAATATTAAATTTAAAAAATGGAAGCAAACGTGAAAGCAGATTCTTCAAAGCGAAAGTAGGTTTGTCAATGGTTATGGATTTTTTAAATAAAAACCACGCTTTTATCCTCGCCGTATAGTTAAAAAATATTGTAATATACTTACTTTCTTCTTGCCAGCATTCGAAACCAATAGGTCTGGAAAACCAGTTTTATGCTCTGTAAAATTTTCTGCTAAACGTTTGTATATCTTAGCTAAGATTTTTCGTCCAAAGCCTTCAATTAGGTTCTCCAAAATCTGGGTATCGCTTATAATATTATCAATTTTACAAAGTACAAATTCATGGGAATGTTTATGATAATTTTGTTTTAGGAAATTTATAAGCCTGTCATCAGACCACTCACTTTCGATCTCCATCAGACGGCGCTCTATCTCACTTTTTCTATTCATATAGAATAGGTGAGTATTTATGTCCAGAGGTTGAATCTGCATTTTCGATACATACGCTCCGCGTATGTATTTTGTGGAGGTATATATTATATCAAAGAACAAAAGTATGAAGGTAGCTATGATTTTATTACCACCCCAAGTAGAATGAAGTAGTTTATAATATTCTATTTTGCTGAAAAAAAATTGAAGATGTTATAAGATTCTTTAGATAGAAAGTTATTGAGATTTGCAAATTAAGCATACAATTTCTTTCTAGGGGAATGTTTGTTTGGTTGAAAAACTACTATATAAAAGTAAATGAAAAAAGAAACTTTTGAATTTAACCTTAACAGCACTTATATATTTTAAAATTATAGGTGATTTCTCTTTTTTTATAATTACTGTATAAATAAGCTCTATTTAATGCAAAAAGAGCGAATTCCGGAGCGGCTTTTGCCAGACCCTGGGACAATTTCTTTATAACGCTGTTTTGCACGTCTTACTTTGTTGGTTGTAAAGAGCTACTTAATTTGAACTTTTTGATGCGATTCTTTGGATTTGTTATTTTACAACTACTTAATAATTTGATGATATATGACTGTAGATACCTTAAATTGTAGGTAATAAAAAAATGACTAATTTTTCGATGTCTAGACTCTCGTGTGCAATGAAATGTCTACCAATAGTTTTTTTTCGATCAGAATCTAATTCGACTGAAGCACAAGTACAAAGAGTACCTTGTTTGGTAGTAACGATACTAATGAGACACTTCTGCGACGGCTACGGAAGCCTTATTAGACTTGACTGATAGACTAAGAGCCGGATAGGAAAATTTCCCTAATCATCTTAGGGGGTCTATGTATGTCTAGGTAAGGGTCTATGACTTAAATACTACAACCTAAAAGAATGCCGTCAATTTTTCGTGGTACAGGGGTTGTCAGCGGAAAATCAAACTTTCCAATTTTGGGCCGGGTAAATTAATTAAATAGAAATTGACAGCATTTCGACCCAAGACATAAAAACCTTATGCCGTACAAAAATAACGGTTCTGGAAAGAATAAAAAATTTTAATTTTCGAAATATTTTCACTAATGTAAAAATTATAGAAAACTGTACGGCGCGACGTGCCTGATTTTAAATGAAGATATTTATTTGAAAGTTATATTTTACCATGCCCTACGAATGCACTGTTTCTAAGGGCTTTTAACCCTTGCTCAACCCTCACCTTTTACGTAGAATAAGGAAAATTATTAGAGGCACCCTAAAATTAAAAAATTTAGAAAGCGCTATATAAAACTATACCTCAAGTCATTATGCCGTATATTTTCAGTAGGGAAATTAATTTTCCGCTCAAGGGGTGAATATTTTAGTGAAAAGTTCCTATACGGCATTTGTGCCTTTTTAAAATTCATTAAAAATTAACTATTAAAAAAATATTGCCATATAAATATCGTGGCACTAAAGGGGAAAAAAGGCCCGAAATTTCCATAATGTTAATTTATATTATCTTATCTTTATTTTTAAGATTATCGGGAATAGTAGTTTTTGCTTCTAAACGTAAGCATTTATTAATTATATTATTAAGATTAGAATTTATTATAATTTCTTTATATTTTAAATATCGTGGCAATAAAGGGGAAAAAAGGACCGAAAGTTCCAAAAAAACGTTTGCATATAACTGCATTTTTTTCCATGCAAAAGTTTTTAATATGTCTACAATTCAATTTGTTTGTTTTGCCAAAATTTATTTTTTATTTTCAATTATGCCGTATATATTTTGAATCCAATACAACAAATAAAATAAAATTGTTTGACGTAGAATAGGTAACATAAAATTGTAAAATCGATAATAATTTTTTTCATAATTTTCTTTGAAACATAATCTATTTAAAAAAATAATAATTTCTATCACGCGCGCTCGCTATGGGACCTATAGTGTAGGGGGTTAGGTGCACGGAAAGTGCTAGATAGTACAACAGCGTGATGTTGTGATGTGATGAAAATAACATCACGCTGTTGTACTATCTAGCACTTTCCGTGCACCTAACCCCCTATGCTATATTGCATGCAAATGTAACGGCAATATAATTTTTTATTATCATTTGATGGTGTTAATATTATGGGGTAAATATCGTAAAGGAATATATAATTGCATAATGTAGTGAAAATGCCTTGGAAAATCCTACTAATTATGGAAAACCCTATTAAAAATAGACAACATCCACAATTTTGTTAATATTAACCCTTCAATAATTTAAAACAGTAATACAATTGAAAATATATAGTATAGGGTGGGTCAAAAAAAATCGACTATTTTTTTTACTTTATACTCTGAAAAATAGGTTGCTAGACACCTCTAGAAAATTCTCTCCAAATATGAGCTCTTAATCTTAATAGGAAGGTCCTCCGCTTTACAGTTTTCCATTTTTTCCTCAGTATTAGAAAAAAAATAATTCATATAACTGTTCGTTAAAAATATCTCTCCTCATATTGAGAGACCATTTTTGTAGAGCAGTTAATTTCCTACAACACCATGAATTGCGCATTTCATAATGATTTTTTGTTAACGAGTTATAAAATTCATAAGCAAAACAGAAATTTGTCTTAAAATAATCAAACTTCAACCTTTAATATCTTTTAAACGGTGAGGTTTACGAAAAAATTGTAAGAGACCTTTTTTGTAGAGCGTCCAATTTCCTACAAGTATATGATATATTTTTAACTAACAGTTGATAGAGAGATATTATTATTTTTTTCTAATACTGAGGAAAAAATGGAAAACTGTAAAGCGGAGGACCTTCCTATTAAAATTAAGAACTCATATTTGGAGAGAATTTTCTAGAGATGTCTAGCAGCCTATTTTTCAGAGTATAAAGTAAAAAAAATTGTCGATTTTTTTTTGACCCACCCTAATATAGTACCATAGGAGCTGTCAAATGGATTTTCGAAATTGCAAAAATGCCGAACAATTTTTTTTATTAACGGCCAATTGTTTTTTTCTGGTGCCAATAATTTTGTACGGCACTTTTGTATAAATACTATAAAGTGGAACAACTTGCTTCCGAAATTTATGCCGTTCAGGAAATAATGATTTTTACCCAAAGAAAAATGGCGTTAACTTCAGAGCACTCACAATTATGTAATACATTTTTTTTAGCCAAATATTTTGTACGGCACTTATATTTTTCATTATTTTAGAGCATAAGTAAAACTCTGAAATCGGTGCCGTACATTTCACAATAATTTTTTGGAATAGGGGTTGAAATGAGAAAATTTGTGTCAGGGTAAAAGCTCTTTATTTAAAATCATGCACGCTGTACAGTTTTCTAAAATTTTTACATTAGTGAAAATATTTGGAGTATGAACATTTTTCATTCTTTCCAGAACCGTTATATTTGTACGACATAAGGTTTTTATGTCTTATTAATTGACGGCATAGTGCTCAAATGTTTTCTTTTGGGTTGTAGTGTTTAAGTCTAAACGATTAAATGCTTAAAATTATTAGGAAAATTTTCCTATCCGGCTCTTAGTCTATTATTTTAACTATGTGATAATCGGAATGACTAAAATGCACTGCCGTATGGATCGCGGAACGTTCATACACAGTTGGGACAATGGAATTTAGAACATAATCTGAGGATCTAAATTATTGCGATGATGCTAGAATGGAAGACCGGTAAGATCTAGTTGGTTCTACTTCTCTTGTTTTTGTCTAATCTTTTACGCTAATATTTTACCAAATGAGAAATGCGAACCTAATAGGCTATGAGAATAAAGTCTTGAAGTTTTTGCTAAGAGGTATGTTAAAAACAAAAAGACTGCTTACCTCATTCCCGATTCTACGTCCATGGGTTTTACTGGGAACTTTTCGATGCGATGCCTTAGTAATTGAAACTCGAGTTCAGCGATATTATCCTTATTTGCCCGTAACACTTCATCTTTTCGCATGAGTTCTCTTCCCCTCTCAAAAATCCGGTGAAGTTGGACATCTGACAAGTTCTTTCTTTCCTGAACCAGTACTTTTATCAGTTCTTCAGCAGCACGATTATAATCAAAGGGTTTCAAAAACTTCATATACAGCCCTATCAAGTTGTAGTACCAACGACCGATTTCATGCGGAAATTCCTCTTTCATATGCCGGATCATGAACTCCAGCCATTCCTGCACGGATTCTGGATATTTTCCCAGTAACACGTCAGATGCATTTGACAAGGTAGTCACGTATACAGCTCTAGCGGTAAATTGGGTCAAATGAGGAGCGTCCCTAAATCTTTCATCATCAATTCTGAAAACAGCGATAAAGCAACTGAAGGTATGTGCTTGTAAGCCAAATAAGTACCAGTCCATACCTTCCGTTTCCGACGATCTTCAATTCTGCGAATATCTTCCCACAAATCTGTCTAAGCTCTTCTGCATCATGTGAAAAGCTTTTAAAATTCATTTCATACATTTTAGCTTTTGAATAACTGAAATATGAAGAGAGAGATTTATGATCCATAAGTAGGTCATTCTGCATAAGTTTTACCACTCATGTCATTAATAATTAGGTGGTCATTAATTTATCTAAAATAAAAAATGATCCGTCTAAATGGGATTAATGGAAAACACAACCTTCCATATTGAGGCCATTAAATAATGTTGCAAACCTGCAAAATATCTCCTATTCCTGTTTGCAACACCAAACAGTATTTTAGACAAAGATCAACACAAAATTAGCCACGCAGCCACGATAAACTATTTTCTGAATTTTAATTTGAACTCTATACATAGAATTGGAAAGTTATTTTCAGCAAAATTGTGGGGGAATTACATACCTTCTAAAATCAGCCCAACTAGCAAATATGACGTATTCATCTACTGGGTACTGAGGAAATGTATCTTTATCGACCAACATGCTCTTAAAGTAGTCCTCCATCTTCGAAAATCTAGGATTAGTGTAGGTGCCTAAGAGGTAAACGGAATAAAAGATTTGCCGGAAATTTTCATTTATTCTCATGCACTTTCCCATTCTGTTTTGTATTTTTCTCTTCAGTAAGTCTATTTTGTACTGAGTATTGCAATTTGAATGTATATTTACAATAAGCTTCTTGTTGTCTAATTTTTCATTAGGTTTGTGTCTGTTATATATTTTTAAACCTTCCTTTTCTAAGTCGTCACAGATTTTTATCAAATTATCTTTACTTAGTTGGTTCAATAGGACAACTTCATGTTCTGTTTGATACTCTAAAAAATAACGCTACTTCAAGTGTGGATAGAAAGGTAGTTCCTCATATTGATCATAGCATCATACAGAAAAGACAAGAAAACAATTAAATTTGAAATTATAGTCTTTCCGATCTCAATTAAAGAACCAAGAGATTGGCAGTATGTACCAGGTTCGGTCGCTGACGCAGTTGCTCGGCATTGAAATATTTGAAAAACATGTTCCCATATTTATTTAACCATACCCATATACAGGTCTGGTCGCCGAGTTGAATAAGCGCGCGGGCAAACGCGGCACAAATACAGTCTCAAATGAAACGATCTTTCAAAATCAAGAAAAAAAATAGGGGGTTGCTATTTAAAAAAAATGTCGATGTCGTCATTACTCGAAACCAAATGACGGTTGAAAATCGCCTTTTATGCTAAAATATGTATTTTTTAAATTAAAAATCGACCTGTTCGAGGATTTTTCCCAAAAAAAAAATTGTTTCGTTTTTCCTGAATTTATTCCATACTTTAGGTGTATACTGTATAATAGAAATTTTCTACACATTATTTACAAATTATTATAATAATTTACCTTTAGCAGAAAACTTTTTTCGGGACGCCTATGAAACTCATTAAATTTTATTGCTAGGCGTTTTTATACATGTTCAACTGACTCCGGAAAGACTACACTAATATTGCAACTAATTTAGTACATCAAGAAATGTACTTACCCGTGTCAACAATTCCGTTTTTTTGAAATGCCCTAACCATTTCGAAAATATCGCCATGTTCCATATCAGGGCGAATTTTTTCAGAGAATTTCAAAATATTGTACCATTTCTTCTGGCTAGTCAAAAGTTCTAAACATATGCATTGCCATCTGTTATGCATATCATTAAACATTTTAATTGTTTCCTTTTCAGTGTCCGGGAGGCTTCTTATGTATTTAGAGAATAAGTCTCTTATCAGAAGAAGGCGATTTTCTGTAATCTTCATTTTCTTATTTTTAGAATCTCCTTTTAAGTAAATTTTAGTTGTAGAAGCTGAAGCTTTACTTGAACCTATTTTGCTGCTATTTTCATTTACATCTGTTATTTTTCTGTTACTTATTTTAGTTTTGTTAGCATCTATAGACATATTTACAGCTGTTTCTTTTTTGTTTGCATTTTTTGCAATATCTTTGCTCCTAATTTGCCAATGTGAGGTGTTCCGAGCTACACGGCTTTCGATGTCGCGCAATTTGGTTTTTAATTTAATTAAATTTTGCTGTTTTTGTCCACCATTTGGCTGACTTGATGCAACTTTACATTCTACAGTGTCTTGCAGTCTTTTTTTAATATTTCCTGTGGAATTACAAACAGTTGGAGTTTCTTTTTTTGATTCTGATAATGTTGGAGCATCTCTGGCAGTTAGCGATTCCTGTTTCTTAGTTTCCTGAAAGTTGCCCTTTCGCGAAAGATCAATTGCGATTCCAGTTTCTTGTAAGCTGCTTGATGTATTATTTGTCGAGTTACATGATTGATTTTCAAAGGTATTTATCTTTGGTACTTGGCTTAGTTGTTTCTTTATGTTGCTTTCCTGTTTGTTATAAATTTCATGGTCAGCGTTTCTAAGTTGTACATCTTGTAGTATCTGAATATTGGTGGTTTTTTCATAGTTGCTATTTGATACTGATGGGCCTAAATCCTTGCCGGGATTTGAAACTGGAAGATGTGTTGAACAAGCCACATGTGGAAGTGTGTCTTCTAAGTATTGTACGAAATTTACCCTGTTTTGGTTATTTTGAATTATCCGATCCCCGTTGTTCAATGAGGTAGAATTCATTGTTAATATTTTTGGTGGCTTTGGTTTGTTATTAGTGATATTCTGTTTATCGAGGTATGCGTGATTACTTCGAATTGCTATTTGTGGGGTAACAACTTTAAAATTTAAAGTGTTACTATTTCCATTTCTAGGTAACGCGATTTGGTGAACATTCTCATTTTGATCATTAGCAATTGTAGTTTTCTCACTGCTTTCGAAAAATTTCTGCTCATTTCTATTCGTGGAGCTGCAATCGAATTTCAGTTTCTTTCCGCTCCCTTCGAGTTTTCCATATTTTCTTTTATTGGAACTTTCACGTTTGGCATATTCCAAGGTACTATTGCTAGTATTATCGGAACTGGTGCTCAAGGCGTTAAATTTTGACGACAAATTTTCCTCATTCGCTCTTTTACAATTTGGACTTCCAGTTGATCTGGAATCGTTTATAAAACTAGGGATTATTCGTAAAATATCTTCAATGCCAACATATGATCCATTTGAGAATTCATCTGTGCTGAAATTTAGAGCAGAAATAGGCGTAGAACAAGGTGAGGGATGTATGGAAGTATTTGGTGTGTTTATGTTTATACTTGTTTGTTTTATTTTTGATGGCGTTGACATGTTGTTAAGCCCTAAAAATATAATTTCATAATTTTTTAAATCCAAAGATTCCTTCAAAGAAATACAGTTTGTAATAGCACGAAAACAGTTATGTTTTCACTCACCTGATATTTCCGGTGCTGCGTTGTTTACCCTTTTCTTCTCGTTTATCATTTTTGGTTCGTCCGGAAATTTTACCACCTCACCATTTTCAATCATCTGATTTACGATCTTCGTTATTCGTTTTTTAGATCTGTAATCGGTGTAGGGAATATACTTAAAAATTTTTGGAATGGACCCATTACATTTTATATAAGCATCTTTAATTTCTAGCCTTTCTTTAAGTGATCCGACGTATTCGCGTTTGAAATCCTCAATTTTATTTTGAACATTTTTAAAAGGCATTTGTGTTAAATTTTGTGGAAGACCTGTAGAGCAGAATAAATTATCCATTATATGAGAACATCTTGCTTATAGTTATACATGATTTTCCCTAATTCTCTTAATGTGCATTAAAGTTTACCAGACAAAATTGACCACCAATTTGATATACAAAAATTAATAAGTAAAAAATAAACCATAAACAGAAACACAGAGAAAGAAAAAGCACACAATACAAGATCAGATATCATAATTAATTGAATATTAATTGACATCATAATGAATTTTTCTCGGAAATGTTTCCTAATAATTCAGGTATATTAAATAGTACAAATATGGATAGCCGAATTTATTGTGCATAACTTTTGTTATTGACATTTTGTTCTATCTCTCGACAAAAAGGGTGGCAGAAGCCCCTAATGTATGATCAGAAAAAAATTTTTCGTAAGGATTGGCTCATCAAAAGCCCATAGTGTTATATATCGTTGGAAAGGTCTTTTCATGCTATATCTCGCGTTATTTCAAAAGAATGCCGTTTTATGGATTTTTCTCAAAGATTTTAAATGCAATGCTATAGTTTTCTTTACATAAATGAATTCAGCACAAAAAATTTATGAATATAGTATAAGTTTGAAATTTCTAACGAAAGTGTTGTTTATTTATTTTATTGCGGCTATATTTATCCAAGTTTAGGTTGTTTCACGTTTTCTTAAAAAAGTAAAATAGCAGGATAAAACTTTTTATAGGTTAGTTTGAATAGCACAAAAATAGCTATATTTTGACGTCAAAAAGGGTTCTATATTTTTTTTGTTATCAAGTTATCAATAATGATAATGAATTGATGAACACGACGCTAACGAAAATACATTTCATTACCAAAACAAAATGCGTTTATAAAAGAACCTACCTAAGCACGCCGCGAAGGTTAAATTCCTGCATTGAAAATAATGGTATGCATTTTGAGCATTTCTAAACATCTTTATTTTTGTTAAAATTTAATTGTTATTTCGTTACATGATATCAGTATCTGTTTGTTATTGTGTTTGTTATTATTTTCAAGATTGTTATTGACTCACTCATTTGCGTGTGAATTGGCGGATCCGATATGTCGGACAGACACCCTTTTTAACCAATTGTAGCAAGATTTCGAATAAATGGATAGTATTAGTATACGGGGTTTTTTGAGAACCCTGATTTATTTGTATCCATTGCAATTCCAAAAATTAATTAGGCCGATCCAATGTGATGAATACAAACCCTTTCTAACCCGATTTATCATGTACCTATGGAGAACCAAGAATTAGCTCACTAAATATTTACCGGGTTTCTGTATCTGCAGATATCACTTTTCTCCATCTATTAAGAGATATCTATATTTCAAAACCCCGAAAATAGGTTAGTACCCCGAATTAGAAGGTGTGCTTGTCTATCGTATTATATCCACCTATTTGACCTTTGGAATTGCAATACAAAAATAAATCGGAGTTCTCAAAAACCTCCAACTAATAGGTACTATTGTAATGTTAATGAAATACACTTTTTAATTTGTGGACTGTATTTTTTATGATATCAGATATAAACAACTTCTTTGAAGTAATTTGATAGGTTTGCAGGAGCCGCAGTTCGTAGGTCCTTTTTTATTGAGATCGGACTCGAAAAAATGTCAATATGACAGTAAACAACCACTCAAACAAAAATACGAAAAACAAAGCTGCTACGTCTTGACCAACTATACTATCAATTTATTCGAAGTTTTGCTATGCCTAGCTATAAAATGGGTTAACGTTTTTGCGTCCCCCATGTTGGATCTGCCATTTTGCAGTTTGAAATTTCGATGCTAAAGTAGGGCTCAGAAATCCAAATACCTCTATGCCGTTACTTTAAATTCACCCAAAATATTCGCTGAGGTAAAGTGGGTTAAGTGGTGATAATATCCGCTATATTGGATCTGCCATTGTGGAATTTCGAATCATATTGGTAAATTCTTAATTAGTGATCTGAGAATCACTATTACACGCATTTTGGATGCATATTTTACAAATTCCAAAATTTTTACAATATGTCATGACAAAAGTCATTATCGGACGCCATATTTGATGCGCCATGTTATATTTTTCATAGGGCCGCCATTTTGCCGAAAGTTCTTGTATATACGAACATTTTAGATCCCACAGGTACAGCTTAATTGGTCAACCCAAATTTTGGGAGGACTGATGAAGCGGTTGACGTGAAATGTCTCACCTTTGAAGTGAATACTACAATTAGTACTTACTTCGCATAACATTTTTATATTTATTTTGCGGCACACTCAATATGTGATAATTACATGACAGGCATTCTGTATAAAAGTCGTCTAGTCTGCGTATCGATTGTGCACAATCCTTTACCCATAAATAACGTAAACATTAGCAACCCACTTTTTCGAATGAGATTCGCGCAAATACTTCCGGTTTAGCGTGTGAGAATCCGACAATCTGACGCCGTTGTTGTCCGATAGGTATGTGTGTCCTTTGAGACGGATAAGATAACACTTATATCAGACAGATCGGAAAGTAAAGAAACAGGTTAAGAGCTAGGGTTACCTTAATTATTCGTGTACGAAATTAAACTATTCAGACATTTAAGGCAAGATCAGGGAACATCCGCATACTCAAAACAAAAAATTTTTTAAGCTAAATTCAAACCCGTTTCCCGAATTTTTCGAAATTCGGATCCGGATTCGGAATCGAAAACAACGGATTTCTTTTTAATACGCCAGAAACTTTGTTAATTTAAATGGAACACCCTGTATATTTTTACATATTTGGATAGAACGTTCCCTGTCAAGCATAGTCATATAGTGTTTGTTGGATCCATCTCTAACAATAAGCGAGATAATATTAAAAAACGAAAAGGTTTTTTATTAATTGTAAGAAAAAAGATATTTTGTAATTGTTAGACCTCTTTCAGGCATTTCTACCCTTTTTCCATTTACTTAAGGATTTATATTTAGTTGCAATAGACATCATTGTTATTATTTGACAGTTTGTATTATTATTTAATTAAAATGACACAAATTGAAATATTATAGGAATTGAAATAGAGTAAGTTATTCTCCATATTCTATTTTAATTCCTAATAATATTTCAATTTTCTACTTCTGTGTAATAGCTGTTTTACATTGACAATTTATTGATCAATAAATTCATGAAGTCGCTTCATCAAGAAATTGGACAAGTGTAATGCACCAAATCTGCTGTCAAATAACTTCATGAATTTATTCATCAAGTTCTTGACGAATTAGAGCATGTTCTAATTTTCGTCAATTTCTTCGTGAAGTTCGGAAGTACCAACCCAACAGATTTCCAGCCTCAGATCAGTAATGAGGTTATGTTATTGGAATATATAAATAATTGTGTGGCGTCGTACTAGTTTTGCATTGTTTTTACTGATTTGTTACTTACAAACACTAATATTTATATAATATGTGTCAAAACGCCGCTGTTGTATCATTACAATTATGAGTGGAAAGGTGAAATTTTTGAAATTCGATTCGTTGGTAGAACTGTTAAAAAACTTGACAAAGTCTGTAGAAGTGTAAAACCACATTGTTTACCAATAAATTCGCGATTTAATTCATGAAGAACTTCGTTAATTTATTTATCAATAAATTGTCAATGTAAAACAGCTTTAACCCATTTTAATTATATAATAACACAAACTGTCAGTCAATAGCAATGTTATCATGACTTTACTACCTGTCACTATCACGACCTACCATATAACATTACTCATGAGTACCTAATTGACCTCACACGGTCTAATTATTAAGATTTCACTTAACTGGAAAAAGGCAGAAATGCCTGAAAGAGGTCTAACAATTACCAGATCTTATTTTCTTAATAATGTGTTGTTGTGTTGTTTTTTAATATTATCTCGCTCATTGTTAGAGATGAACCCAACAAACCCTATAAGATTATGCTCAACAGGGAAGTTCTATCCAAATATGTAAAAATATACAGGGCGCTCCATTTAAATTAACAAAGTTAACATCCGGGGCCATTTTGTTTGGACTTCATTTGTTTTTCAACTATCATTTTAGAAAAATTAATAAAAAATCGTGTAACTTTTGTATTTCACATTTTTTTATGACTCTTAAAATAATAAAAGTTAAAGGGGGGGGGGGGTCAAAATACAGTGAATCACTCTGTGTTAACGGCCGTTCTATCAAATGAAGTTTGACTACTACTTAACTAAATCCAGTTTGCGTTTTTATTGAAGGAAACACATGCGAGTTTGTCTTACAAACCGAAGTTATAAGGTGATGAATTTAAAGAAACAAATGTTAAAAACAGTTAATTTTTACGTAAGCAGTATTGTTAGATCTTGTTGTAACGGTACATATTGTTAATTTTGTCTATTAACACCACTTTTAATAAGTTACATATAAATATTCATACAAATTAATTGAAATTCTAAAAGTAAAATCCTTAAAAATGGTTATAGCACTTAATAAGTATAATAAACAGTTTTTTTTTTTAATGTATGATAATTCAAAATCTGACATAAAATCAAAGTTATTTTAATTTGTATAAAAGCTACAGGATGAAGCAGATAGAAGACCCTCACATCTGCGCCATTGTTCAGGGTGTAGTTTAATTTAATTAATTTTTACTTATAAATTTGATCAAAAGGTGACATTTAGTGATCTTATTACCTATGAAAGTAATATAATGTCGAGTCCTGTGTTGAGTAATAACAATTATTATTGAAAAAAAAGGTAAAACACTGTGCTGACTTACTAATTACAATCAGTTTAACATTTTGATCCTGCTCTCGCCCAAAACTGCAAGCTATACTACCCATTAATATATTTCATGACATACTCGGAAATATGACCTCATGCAAGATTCCTCGTTCAGCAGAATTCCTTACATTCGGCCATACCACAAAAATTGTTCTAATTAATTTACCTCTGGTATAAATGCTAACTATTATTTACACTAGGTTTTGCTGCTAACTGTAATTCATATTGTTGCTGCTGCAAATAACATTATGTATTAACTAAACAGTACCAAGCGCATATCACTTTTCCGCCATATGCAAATTTAATATACACAATATTCATTTCCGTTAACTGCGAAATATATACACATATACCTACTTTCATTTAGAATTTTTATTCATGCCAATATGCAAGGTATTACCAAGTCATTGTTAGCTGTTTTGTTTTTAATCAATGTCTAAGTATGTAAATACGGCGTGTTTTACTGTTTTCAACTAATGATACTATCGGAAACCACTATTACGGGCTATATTCTCCTCCATCATTGAATTACCATAGCATAGACCAGGGCGGATATGTTTTGAAGTGGATGTGAGAGGGGGCAAGCAATTTTTTCCTGGATTACCTTCAGTATAACTCACATAATAAAAGTATAGATCTCTAGATATAGGTGAGGTCCGGAACATTTTCAAAATTGCAAAAATGTTTAAAAAATTTAAAAAATACCTATTTTACAAGGTTGACAAATATCGTGATATTTATATAAATATCAAATATCGGATATATATCTTGATATATATCCGATATACCGGGTGATTCAGTTTGGTATTCGCGGCCCTGTATCTCTTTTATTTTAACAAACAGCTATAACAAACTTTATATATTTTTAAATCGCCGCTCAAACTCTATCAAATGACATTATTAGATCGTCTCCATGGTAACATATGTCAACTGTTTTTGTTCAAATGGCACACTATATATTTTTTAAACAGTTCTGGAAGATATTTTTTTCTGCGTTCAACTATGTAAGGAAGTCTGTAGTTTCATTAGAAATATTGCTAGAAAAACAGCAAAAAAGATGCACCCTACTTTTCGTAGCTTTAATCTGAAAAATGATAGCCAGCTGCGAAAACAAGTTACTATGTTTTTTAAAGTAACATATTTTATTTTTAATACGATAATAAAATAACAATTTAAAACAATACTTATTTCAAATGTTCAAAATGACCTCCATTTGCTTCCAAACACAGAATAGCTCTGTTTATCACTCCTTCTCTACAAACACATTCTAGTGTTTCTTCATATAATTCAGCACTCTCCATAAATTAAGATCATATCTAGTTTTTCTTGGTTACTATAAGTATTCATGTTATAGTAATAATAATAAGTTGTAGATAGAATAGGTAGGTACAAAATGTCAATTATTTTAAAAAACCCTTATTTAGAAACGTCAAAATTCAGTTGTTTCAACAGCTGGCTATCATTTTTCAGATTAAAGCTACTGAAAGTAGGGTTCATCTTTTTTGCTGTTTTTCTAGCAATATTTCTAATGAAAATTCGGGGAATCACATAAATCAACACGTTCGTCAACGATTAGCATACGGTTTTGCTGCCACCTGTTAACAGTTTTAGCAACTTTAAACAAGTAGGAATGATTATTTAAATTTTTATAAATATGATATATATCAAGTAATAAATATCGTGATAGATATCAATGATATATATCGGATATATATCATTGATATCTATCCGATATATACCATAATATATATATCCGATATATATTATTGATACATATCATGCCAACCTTGCTATTTTATCTCAGTTTTTTACTTAAGTATATGTTGGAACCTATACATTTTGGGAGAATATTGAAGAGGAAAAAAGTTTTAGAATTGAATTTTGCACAATATACTGTAAGTTAAAATTTTTTACCGATGTTGAAAAAAGGCAAAATAATGAAGCTTTTTGGATATATTTTTTTAAAGTATTCCATTCTAATTTTGGTAAAAAAAAAACTTTAGAGTGTTTAATAAAACAACACACCAAATTTCATTAAAATCGGTTCTAGCTTTCGCAAAATAATTTTTTGAAAAAAATTTTCGAATTATCAAAATGTTGCTCAGCCTCAAATAAAGCATCTAGATACTTGAAAATTTTCACATAGAAAAGACCGCTCAACCTTTCAAATGGTTATTGAAAAATTGAAATCGGTTGATTAGGACGGCCACAGTAAATTTTTAAAGTTAACACTCTTTTTTTTATTTTTAAACAATTAGATTATATTTATCAATTTGCAATTTAGTTTTTTCAAAAATTATAAAATATCTAACTACTCAATAAAATTGACAACGTAAATCTATAGAACAATTACTTTCAAAATTTACTTTATACAGTGTGTCTACTTAAGTTGGAACCATATGGAAAACTTTTTTATTATTGGTTTTATGAAAAAAAGTTATTCTTCATAAAAAGTTCTGCATGGTCTAAAATCTAAAATGCAATCTTCAGTTATCAAAACTTCCCAGTTATATACGAGGTATATCAGAAATTATGAATTTTGTTCAAGAGTAAAGTACCCTTATTTTTGACAATACAGAAGAGTGTTATAAAGAAAAGTTATTTCGATTTAAAAGTTATTTTCAAATATGCAATTACAGCTTTAGCATGAAGATTCGGGTTTTGTGATTATTTACGGTTTACATTATAAATTATTTGTATTATTATTATATTATATTATTATTTGTATTATCATTAAATTGCAAGGTTGTTCATAAACATTAACAAATGAAAAAGTTATCATATTTTTAACAGATAAGAAAGATAAATACAAGTAATTTATAATGTAAAAAGTAAATAATCACAAACCCTGAATCTTCATGCTAAATGGCTGTAATTGCATATTTGAAATTAACTTTTAATTCAAAATAACTTTTCTTTATAACATTCTTCTGTATTGTCAAAAATAAAGGTACTTTACTCTTGAGCAAAATTCATAATTTCTTGTATACCTCGTATATGACTGGGAAATTTTGATAACTAAAGGTTGCATTTTAGATTTTAGACCATGCAGAACTTTTTATGAAGAATAACTTTTTTTCATAAACCCCATAATAAAAAAGTTTTCCATATGGTTCCAACTTAAGTAGACACACTGTATGAATTGGCTATAATTTGTAATAGGTATGCTTAGTGGGAAAAACTCACACGAGTTCTATGAATAAGCCAACTAAACTGGTATGCTCAGTGAGAAAACTCACCTACTATCCAATATTTAATTGTGGCACAATTCACAATGTTTTTACGTCAAGGTCACTACGTAAAATGATCCCTTTTCAAAGTTTAGGTCAAAGAGGCTGTCTGAAATTTCTAATCTAAACAAACCCATTAGGCGTTAATTCGGGCTGGTTAGAAATACCAGACCTATGCCGGGGCGAAATGTGCCTTCTTTCTAACTTAAAACATTTTTGATATTTTTGTTTCCTCTCAATTTTTGACACCTGCTACGAATCACTAATCACTAATAAGAAAATAATTAAAAAATTTCATAAAACGTTATTCCATTTTCGACAAACAATGTTATACCTTTGGAAATTGTTGCTCTTATATTTCTGTCTATTTTGACAAACGCTATAGTCGCTATAGAATCCGTGTATCCGTGGTAAAGCAATAAGTTATATTACAGCACAACCTATGCTTTGCGAAACGACAACGTCGCAAAATCAATTTGGCGCGAACAATTTGTTGCGGTTCTATTTTTATAGATGATCACATGCATTTACTCTATTGGCGCGAAAAGTTTGTAAGTGTAATTAACTATTACCAGAGATGCTAAAGACTGTTTTGTGGGTACCACATTGTTACAACACTATAACTGAAAACTATAGCAAAGATTCAACAGCTTGAATTGGTCACGTCGATGCTGTAATAGGTATCAACGTTTGTATCAAAACAATTTTCTTAACAGAAATACTTGATTAGGTAGCTTTAGAACAATAGATTATCGTCAAGTTTTGTTTGTAATAGGTAAGTACTGCAATTTATATTAATAGAAAATTTGCTCAATGCATTATTAAAATGTTTTTTTATAAACATCAATGGTTTCAGAATTTTTAAAATGTGACGATCATTAAAACTTAGTGGTTATTAAAAATGAAACAAAGAATTTCTGTTTTTAGAAAGAAAAGAAAATTACGTTAAATTTGGCAAGATTGCTCTTAGCCCTCTCCCCCCTCGATACCACCTATTATAATTAATAGTCTACAACCGATAAGATAATTTCGTTTGAGGAAAATTATACAATAATTTATATAATAGCTAAATTATATGAAAAATATTTATGATAAAGGCAGCAAATATAATTTGTTATTATTATGATGATAGGTAATAATAAAATATCACACCAGCATTTTTACAGTAGTTCACTTAAGCTTGTGTTTAATAACAATTACTAATCTCATAACATATCCGTAGTTCCCCCATTTTTTCATTACATAGTGAGGTTAAGAATCTTATCGAATTAATATAACCGCTCTTTTATGCTATATTTAGACTATGTTTTGACGATCTTATTTAGATATTGTTAAAGTACAAAATGTATATTACTTACTTTTTATTGCAACAGAAACTTAAGGCAACTCTACTCGTTTGTCACTAAAAATTTACTGAATCGGCTATATTCTGCAGTTGTAGCCGTTGCAGTATCATGTCGGTTTGAAATGTTTATCAAAACGTCGGGAGAGCTATGTCGATAAGCCCAAGCCCAGTATGTAAATAGAAAATGATAATAATTCCTCCTATTAATGTAAAGCTGTGATAATTAAAAATTTAAGGAAAATTTCAAAATGCTTGTATATTACATTTCATCAGAAAATACCAAACGGTAGATATTTTGCTGTTAAAATTTTAAAAGTACGTTTTATATATATATTTTGTCCATTTAGACGCGAACAGTGTGACAAAATTTGCCAGTAGCCCGTTTATTAAGATCCTTAAAATGCCTCCGTATCAAATTTCAACAGAAAATATCAAACTGTAGATGTTTTGCCGTGTGTCCATTTGAAGGTTTTCTATAAGTATATATACAGGGTGTATTTTTAAGGATTGGCACATCAAAAGCCCATAGTGTTATACCTGGTTGGAAAGGTATTTGCATGCTTTATCTCTTGGTGAATGCGTAATGTCATTTACGTCAATATGGAAACCTATAGATGGCGTTATTTAAAAGAATGCCGTTTTATGTATTTTTCTCGTAAATTTTAAATGCAATTCTATAGATTTCTTTATATAAATGAATTCAGCACAAAATATTGATGAATATAGTGTACGCTATTTATCCAAGTTTTTGGAAATATAAAACCACATTCTTTTTATTTTTTGTGAAACGCCCTTTGGATTTACCAAAGTCATGGACGTACCCAGTATAACTCAATAACAGCTTTTATACAGCTTTAGATAAAACATTTTTTTTATAAAAATATTTTCTGATAAGAAGTCAGTATACGTATAGGTACATTCATGTATAAATGAGGAAATGTATTTCATTTATGTCCCCTTAAGACGATGCACTAATCCGCCAAATATTTGTAAACCATAAATATATCAAATATTTGCAGACTATTTGGTGAAAATCCATAGCACCTGTTTACATTAAACGCATAATGACCCCTATAAATCTGCAAATTTCTCAAAAATGGTCAATAATTTTTGTTGCTATTAGTTTCTACTCTATTGAAAACATGAATGACAAATAATTACCAATTCAAGCTTAATTTTTGAACGCTAACTATATAGTAAGACATGCAATTTATGCAACCAAGTATACAATAAGCTGCACAAACGGCTGCATACGATTTTTAACAGCCCTTGTACATAAACTGGGGCATTCCGGTAAAGACAACAGTCCTGAAATTTCCTGAAACCTTATTAAAACTGCGTTTTAACGAAACAAAGTAAACTGCCAACGAGAAGTTTAACGCTATGCGTAAAGACTCAAAAATATGGAAATGTATACGGCCCATTGTTTCGAACTCTCTCCTGTAACAAAAATAATGTGAGCCCTAGGTACTCCATTTGCATATAACTGTGTAAACCCGAAATTTACTAAGTGGGAGATTAGATTAAAGGGATTAGGCGTATATTTTGTAATTTGGTTATTGTCTGGAGCTGTTTGCATTAATTATGGATATGTTATTCTGTTTCAGTAATCATTTACTTTCAGTTAATACCAATATTAATACAATACTGACTTAAGGACTCCACTTAAAATATATTTATTTATTTATTTGCACTGTTAAATAAGAAAAATGCTGAAAACTAAAATATTTCTCCAATAAACAGCTCTACACAAAAATCTCACTGATTAAAACGATAATCACATGACAATTTCTCACATCATAGTCAACCCCAAAAAAGAAAACAATATTTAAGCTGTGACAATATTATTAAGTTGTGGTCGGCAAAACTAGGGGTCAAACTGCATCTAAGGGGGTTTAGTCACATTTAATAATGGTATTGGAACAAAATGACCTAAATACATATCTATTTAAAATGTTCTGAAAAATGCGACTCATGATTACAGAACAGCACAAAGCAGTTTTATTACCTAAAAATTATACTAATGACGAAAATTATTCCTGAAAATATACCGATTATTTTATTTCTTAGATAATTATGCAATAATATGATTGAGATAACACACTTAGTAGATATTGTGGGTGTAAATCAATGTTGGACTAGGTTGTAGTCCGCAGAGCAGTTATTTCCTGCAATATACCAAATGTTTCTATTAGATAAATATTCTTATTAGTATTAGCATTAGCTCCTAACTTGTGTTATTTATTTATTTATTTAAAGTACAGCTGCCCAGACAGATACAAATCCAATTAAGGACGGGATTTTGTACAAAAAATATCGCCCAGCGTGAGTCACGAATCTGGACTCTGGCATGTGCTGTTCTAGCGGCCAACGCTTCAAGTCTAATAATTCCGCTGCACCGGATATTCGTCCGATTTTTCAGGAACGGCTCCAATTTGTGTACATACAATCTTATAAGGAAAGAGATTAAATATTTTATTAATTAGTAATAGATTATCGAGGACGATAATATTTTTTTATTGAGTAGGCAATAATTTTTAGTTAATAAGCTTAAACAATCTTATAATTACTATTCCTTCATTATAAAAACAGAAATACGGTTTTTAAAATTACATGTAGTTTCTTCTTCAAAAGTGACGTTAAAACACGTATAACATGGAATAGTCAACAGTCTAATGTTTATATTTTCACATTAACAATCCGATAATGTAAATTAACTGCTATTTTCAGTAAAAAAAATATATACCTAACCTGAAATATTTTTTTACTTTGACGAGTCGTTTTAACTTAAAAACACTGCTTAATTACTAAAATATATAGAATCTTGCTACTAATTGCGTTTGGAGAATAATATGTATAGGCATAAAATATATATATAATATTACTGTATGTATTTAGTCCATTGAAATGAAGGCTGAACCTCCATTTTTTCCTCTGTCGATCAAACCTGGGCGCAAATATGTTTTCGACCCTCAGGAATCCGAATCCGCAAACATTTTTGACCTAGGTGATCAGGCAAGGGGTCAAAAGGTCAAAAAACCCGTAAAAAATAAGGTTTTTCGCAAATATCTCGTAAACTACGGCAAGTAGCAAAAAAATAATTGCACCATCGTGTTCCCAGGGAAATTACGATTATAAACAATTAAAAAATTTATTTAAGAAAAATTTTTGTTTTTAAAAAACAGATTACCAAGACAATAAAATGGCAAAAAAAATGTTTCAAAAATATTAAACTTGTCCATTTGTTTATAACAAATTTATAAACAAATAACGTTAAAAAGTTTTTAGCTAAGCTAATAAACGCAATATATTAATAGAAAAACAACTAAAATCAAACATTTGGTAAAAAAAAAATTTATAACATTTCCCGGATTTTTCATTTTTTGTTAACTTTAAAAAATCATTATAAACAAATGAAAAAACTTTTATAAACTTTTACAACGGAATCTTGTTTATTATGTATATAAAAAGACCTCCCAGAAAGAAAAAAAATTTTAGATACATTATTTAAAGTTTTACAACAAGTTTTATGAAAGATTAGGACCACGAAAAATTAGTTCATTAACAATTGAATAACTTTAACATAAGTCAAGTTAAAAATTATTTTCCAACTGGGCTGTGTTCCTTCAAGTGTCTAGATGACACTATAATTTATTTAGATTTTTAAATTAATATTGAATACTATAAAAAAATTATTTTGTGTTGCACACTTTGCTTGGCGGCGACGCGACGACGCGGAAACCGCCGCCGCCGCGCGGAGCTATATTTTCAACGTCAAATTAAAATTATAAATAATGGAGCTACAATTCCTGACTTATTTTGCTGAAATTTTCTCCTCTTTCAGGATCTTTTTTGAAATTTCAGCTATCTTCAATATTTTTTTAGTTATAGTTAAAAAACGGAGACTCCCTTTTTTCTCTTCGTTTTTTGTTTATAACAATTGCTATTTTTAATTGCGGATAAATTAAAAAATACTTCTTTCTCTGAATTTAATTCCGAATCCAATGTACTAACAACCATATTTTTAGGATTACAATAACTATTTTTCGCAGAAAACTCACTTCTCGACTAGACTAGTGGTTTCCTTCTTATCGGTAAGTAGCTACTGATTTGTAGATTGAAACAGAAATCTACCTGAGCCAGACCAATTTTTAAGCTGTAAATTTATTTTGAAACTACCAAGGCTACAACATAAATAACGATTTTATGTGGGACACCCTGTACGTAAAATTTAATCTTTATTCTTAATAAAGAAAAATTAGTACATATTATTGGTTTTTTATGCGTTATATTTTCGTACTACTTAAGCTTTACAAAATCTTATTACTTAGGTACCTACCTACTTTTAAAATATTACCCATATTTATATATCAAAGATAATATCAGACCATTATGGGTCCCATATTCTGTAAATAGTGTTTTCCGCAAAGACAAATAATTTCAAACATTTAATAACTGAATAATCTAAAGCTTATCAAATAATAGGAATGTTATGTCATGCCACCTGAGTATTTTCAAAGACGCCGGCCGCAGTAAAACGAATAAACAGGTGCAAAAAACGATCAAACCATTAAGGTTTTAGGTACTGAAATCTACGAAAATACTATCTTTTTTATATATAATTCCACATGTAAATATTCTTATAACATTTACTTGCTTAGTCCTACATATAAAATTGTTTACTTTTTATAAGTACGTGAAAATAATTGTTAAAATGTGGGGTTAGGATAATAGCAAACGCATGTTTTGCAAACGCTTTTTTTTAGTTATTATTTTATTTGGGTAAATTTAAACGGTAACCATGAATAAACAAAACATCAAGGATTTTATTTTTGTGCTTACCCCTACTTTTGTTCTACACGTTTTACTTTTAAAGATTTCAGTACCTAAAAACGCCAGAAATTTCACTATTTCTCGGCCAATACAATTTACAATAAACCAACTCTGTGTTTTCGCTTTCATTTTCAAGGGTAGCGACACCTGTGACAGAGTACACAAACTAATTTTATTTAGAAATTCTTGTAGAAGATAGAAACCGCTAAAATTCTGGTTTAAATATATAATATAATATAATATAACATGGAGTCGTGTGTAAAATGTTG